AGCAGTGAGTGCCCGCCCCGCCCTGCCCTCCCTCCGGGGTGCACGTCCAGGGGTCTGGGGAAAGGCTGCTGGGGTCGCTTTTATTGCCTTGCCACGGGGATGTTTCTCTGTGACCTTCCCTCCGTGTGTGTCTTTCCCAAGGGGTGGTGTGGGAAGGGATTTTGGGAGCTGGGCTAGGGGGGGAATAAAAAAAAAAAGCTCTGTGATCTCTTTCTCCCTTTCTTCATGATCTGTGTCCTTGAAGAGATCACATGGGATCTTGGGAGCTGGGCTAAGAAAAAGCTCTGGGATCCCTTTCTCCATGACCTCTTTGTGTCCCTCTCAAAGGGTGACATGGGAAGGGATTTTGGGAGCTGAGCTAGGGGAAAAAAAAAAAAAAAGCTCTGTGATCTCTTTCTCCCTTTCTCCCTTTCTCCATGATCTGTGTCCCTGAAGAGATCACATGGGGTCTTGGGAGCTGGGCTAAGAAAAAGCTCTGGGATCCCTTTCTCCATGACCTCTCTGTGTCCCTCAAAGGATTACATGGGATCTTGGGAGCTGGGCTAAATAAAACCTCTGGGATCCCTTTCTCCATGATCTGTGTCCCTCAAGGGATCACATGGGATCTTGGGAGCTGGGCTAAGAAAAAACTCTGGGATCCCTTTCTCCATGATCTGTGTCCCTGAAGAGATCACATGGGATCTTGGGAGCTGGGCTAAAAAAGCCCTCTAGGATCCCTTTCTCCATGACCTCTGAAGGGGTGACATGGGAAGGGATTTTGGGAGCCAGGCTAGAAAAAAATCAGTAGAATCCCCTTATTCCCTTGTGAGATCCCCTTCTCCATGACATCTCTGTGTCCCTCTCAAAGGGTGACTTGGGAAGGGATTTTGGGAACCAAACTAGAAAAAAGCAGTGGAATCCCTTTTATTCCCTTATGAGGATCCCCTTCTCTGTGACCTCTGTGGGTCCTTCCCATGAGATGACACGTGAAGGAATTTTGGGAGCCAGGCTAGGAAAAACCAGCAGAGTCCCCTTCTCTGTGTCCCTCTCAAAGGGTGACATGAGAAGGGATTTTGGGAGCCAGGCTAGAAAAGAAGGATGGGTTCCCCTTCTCCTTCTCAAGAGGTGACACATGAAGGAATTTTGGGAGCCAGGCTAC